TGGTTAGTGGCCCATAGGATTTTGAACTATGCTTAGCTGCTTTCTGCATCTCCTGGGCATTTTAATTTCATTTTCATTTGTGCATTTTATTTCACAACTTTAGAAAATCATAAAAAATGGAAAAATAGTTATTTTAATCTGAGAATTTTTGCTATAGGTTAGTTTGGACTTCAAGAAAATTGTAAATAAATAAAAATTTGATTTTAGGTATTTTCTTTATTTTTTGTGAATATTTTGCCTTTAGTTGTTTTTTTATTGCATTTAGTTTGTACATGATTTTGTAGATTTTATTCTAGATAGTTCCCCTGAGTTTTTTAGACCAATCTTTTTAGGGCAACTAGATACAAACATTAGGTACCCCTGGATTTTATTCCATAATTTTTAGGATTATTTTTAGGTAGTTTTGATTAGATGATATTAAGATGGTTAGATTAGGGTTTAAACACAACATAGGTGCACTTGAACATTTTATTTTGGGTTTTTTAGAGTGAATTAGAGTATGGGACCTATGGGGTATATAGGGTAGATATAGTATTTCCCTTAGAATTAATATTAGACTTGTAAATATTATATTACTATTTTTAGCATATTTTACAATTGTGTGATTGTTTGGTTTGCCCATTTTTGGGGTTTATTTTGTTGTGTGGGCTTTTTGGGCTTCTGCTTGGGGTGTGGGCTTAGTTAGAGCTTGTGGAGCTTGGCAAGGATTAGAGATGAAGATTGCAGATCAAAATCAAAGCTTGATGAAGATTGCTTGGCTTGCTTGGAGTTGCTTGAAGACTATAGGATATAGGGTATAGATAGAGCCTTAGAATAGAAAATTTTCTTCATAAACATGGATGGTTTCTTTTGCCTCCATTCTTCTCAATGATTAAAAGTCTCTCCTTAATACTCACATCCCTCCTTTGGAAGGATTAGTGACTGTATCTAGGAGATAGAACTTTGAGAGAAACAGTCTGTATTATGTTAACTTTCTGTAGGCCACCTTTGGTGCTTAACAGACTGTTTAACATTCAAAATCCTCTTATAATCATTTCTCTGTTGGAGAGCTTGCCTTGAAGAATCCCTTGAAGATTGAAGATGAAGTTCAGTGCCTTGAAGACTGTTAGAGGAAGGAGCTGGTGTTGTCAGAGCTGTGCAACTGTTTGAAGTAGGACTTACTGCTGCTTAGCTGTTGATGATGTCTGCTGTTTAGAGTTTCTGCTTGTGGTAGCTTGTTGTTTATCTTGAAGATTGGATGCTTATTTGAAGCTTGTAGGTGGATGAAGACCTTGCTTGAAGGTGTTGGTGACTTGTTGTTGTTTCTATCAGATTTCTGCTGTTTAGAGCTGTTGGTGTTGTTTAGAGCTGTTGATGTATTGTTTGAGTTTCCTGACTGTATTGTTTGATAATTACCCTGTTAGGTTTAAAGTGAATTTTGTTCACTTTTGCCTGTTGTTTTCTAGGTTCGAGGTTGAGTGGGACTCCCTTGCCTCGCTTGTATTGTTGCATTCATGCATTTTACTGCTTTACTGTATATATGCTGTTGCTTTTCCGTTTATCCCCTAGGATCTCTGTTTCTCTCTGTGCAAGAGAGAAATAAGACAGACATTAGGCTTTCATCCATGCATGACAACATTAGGGTAGATTTTGATTCCCTTTTCAACCATAGGCTTTTTAGAGCTCCTTTCTCTTCTCATCTCAGAATAATTCAAAAACACAGTAATAAGGTTAATCAATGTCGTACGTTACGAGCCTTAAGCTATTTGAGAAAAGGTTGCTGGAGGGTCACTCTTCAGTAATCTGATTGCTTAGTGTGTTACCCTTAGGGTGACATACGATGTAGTCACTCTCAAATCATAGTCTCTAGTGCGTCAGAGATTGCAAACACACTAAAAAATACTTCTTGCGTAAAAGACTGTAAACCAATCAAAAACGTCATTTTTGTCCGCTTGGACCCATAATCAGGAGAAAACCTTTTTCAGAAGGATAAAAAACAATCAAGACAGACTTGTGTCGCACGTGGCCCGAACTACGTTTGCTCTGATCTTTCATGTTGTATGAAAGTACGTAGGCATAAGATGCGATATCCTAGCGAGCAACCTTCCCCTCCTTTCCCGTAGGTAGGCGAACTACGTTGACTCTGATTTCTCGTTCCAGACGGGAATACGTAGGCATAAAGTGCGATACTTTGCCGAGTCATTTTATTTTCTTTTAACCCCAGACCTGTAGAATAGATAGAATAACAATCCGTACTAGAAAACAAGCGTGGGTCCCGTCGAGTACGACGGACGTGAGGGGTGCTAATACCTTCCCCTTGCGTAACCGACTCCCGAATCCAGGATTTGGTTGCGATGACCATTCCTTTCCCGTCTTCGCGGTAGGTTTACTTCGAGCGTTTCCTTTCCCTCCTTTGGGATAAATAACGCACGGTGGCGACTCTTCTGTTCAGCCGACGCCGATTTTCGCAGTAGCGACACATGCATTTTACAGTCGTTTACTGTTTGCTATTTAAGCTGATGCTTTATCTGTTTCTGTATCATTGACATGATCCCCTAGGAATCTCACCTCCTTCGATAAGGAAGTGATGATTAGAACTTTAGGTTGAAACCTATGCATGATAACTTCTAGGAGTTCCCTGTTTCGAACTTCAACCATATGATGAATCCTTGGCATGACAACATTAGGACTTGATAGTCCCCCCTTAGTTGAACCTGTTCGTTCTCTCTTCTCATCTCAAAACAAATTAAAATACAGTAATAAAGGTTAACTGACGTCGTACGTTACGAGCCTTAAGCTATCTGAGAAAGGATTGTTGGAGAGTTTCTTTTTAACAGTCTGGATGTTTAGTATGGCACCCTTTGGGTGACATGCGACGCATTCACTCTCAGGTCATAGTCTCTAGTGTGATATTGGTTGAAAACAGACAACTAAAAAACAGTTCTTCCGTAAAAGACAAAAAACAAACTTCAAACCTTTTTGCCCCGTGGGCCCGTAATTCAAAGGAAGCTTTTCTGAAGAAAAGAGTGTCGTTAACTCCCAGTTCTACCGCAAACGGTAACGCCTAAGTCTTCAAGGGTCGAGCTGCGTACACCAAACTACTGGAACTGTTTGTTAACCCTACTCGATAAAACAGATGAATCTGAATTCCCGTAAGCCGTATTAGCTCGAACTACGTAAGCTCTGATCTCTCATACCTGTTGAGAGTACGTAGGCACAATACTGACGTATTGGCGAGCCACCTTCCCCGTAACCTGTAGTTAGTCGAACTACGTTGACTCTGATTTCTCATTCTCTGATGAGAATACGTAGGCATAAAGCGCGACGCTTTGCCGAGTCATTTTCTTTTCTTTTCAGACCAGCCTTGATAGGTAGATAGTAAACAAACCCGTCAGATAAACACCACAAGCGTGGATCCCATTGAGTACGATGGACGTGAGGGGTGCTAATACCTTCCCCTTGCGTAACCGACTCCCGAACCCAGACAATGGTTGCGATGACCTTGTCTTATACCTTTTCGTCAGGTTTTTCCGATCGTTTCCTTTCCCGTTCCGAGGGATAAATAACGAAAGGTGGCGACTCTTCTGTTCTGCCGACACTTTATTTTCGCGGTAGCGACACACTGGGCTGGGCTGCCAGGCCCAATGTTGGCAACTGCTAGGGCTGATGTGGCATCGTAGAGACCAGCACGTGGTCTTCGCCCTAGTGTAACTGCTCCGCACTATCCGGGAGGAGGAAGACCAGATCTTCAGGAAGTGGGAAGTTACCTTATGACGTGTCCCTGCGTGAGGGGCACGTGGAGATCGTGGGGGAAGCCTTGAGGAGTTCCTCGGCCAGACGTGGCCATCTGGTCGGACGTGAGGGTCCTAGCCGGTGATGAGGAGAGGCGAGGCTGGGTGGTCGGCAGCCAGGGTCCTGCTCGGCCGATGAGGGCCTTCGCCATGCTCGAATGAGTGTTGTGCCCCCGGGTCCCAGCTCGACAACGCGGTCATATTGGGCCCAACCTCAATGGGGTTTGGGCCTGTCCGATTGTGGGCTAAGCCTCGGCCCAGTCCAAAACACTTTCCTTGTTTATTTTCGCAATAATCGAATTAAATCAAATAATAACTATATAATTTCATTTTTTCATCAACTGTTTGCGCCCTAACGTTTTCATCTAAGTATATATTAATAATTTACAAATATATCTTTTTATAGTATTGAATAATTCAATAAAATTTATAAACAATTCAAACATTTCAATATCATATTCTTTATCTAAATCGAAAAAGAAAAAAGTTTATATCATGATTTTTTTTAACAATGTATGAAAATCTTTGTATTCTTGATCTTTTAAAAAGATGAAAAAAATTTCACATATTTAAAAAGCACACAATACAATATTTAAAAGAGAAAAAAAAAGTTACATTTTAAAAAAAAGTAGATTTATCTAAAATAAAAGAATCTTTCTCAATTTAAATCATCTCTATGATGTTTTCGTCGTTCTTTATTTATATTTATATTTCATATTTTTTTTAAAAAGTAAATATTAAAATAAAAAATCTTTTTTTTTTAAAGTTTATTATTTTTGTGTGAAAATGTGGAGTACATAATGCGAAGGATGTGCCAAATTGATTTCTCTATTGTCATTTAGTTGATCCTACACTGTTTCCTTTTCGGAACTTCGGTTCATTTATTTCAAGAAAAAAATTACAAAATGAAACTAAACTTAATACGAAGAGTATAGAGTGTACTAACTGCATTATAATATAAACATTATCATCATCATCATCATCTTCCTCACACCTTAATCGATTTCACATCAATATTTGGGGATTTTCGGAAATCCAATTAGGGTTTTCAGCTACGCGACTTGTCTCTAAGAACTTCAGTTCTTATCTGTTTTTTGTTATCGTTTCTTCGCGAAATCACGGAATTGAGGAAAGGAATTTTGTTCCTCAAAATCAAACCTGGGGAGTGAAGGTTCTGGTTTTGATCCTCGCTCCTTGCGCTATTTCATCGTTCGTTTCGTGCGTTATTTCATGGCCGATAATATGGAAATCGATTCTCCCTCTGAATCTCAGCCCCTCAGTGCTCGAGATCGAGTCATTCAGGTGAATACATCATTTTTTCCTTTCGATCCTGAATGTTTCTTATTGAAAATTTACACTCTCCGTTGCTCGATCACTGTATATCTATTCAATTTCTCTATTGACCAGAGACGAGAAATAACTTTACTGGTTAATTTGGCTGTTTTAAACTGTTTTAGTTTGAGTGAATTTCGGTTATTGCTTTATTTTTTTAGTTTTGGGGTTTGGATTTTTTAATATTGAAATTGAAATGTATGTTTGATTTGTGGTTTGGTTTGGTTTTCAGAGGCTTGTGCAGTTTGGGGTTCCTGAGGAGCAGCTTGACCAACCTGGTTTGGTTGCTTTTGTTCAAGAGAAGAAGGTTTTGATAAATGATATAGTGTATGCTATATTGCCTACCGATGATGAACTGGATGAAGTATCTCAGGATTCAAATTTGGGTTCAAAGAAGATGTTTAAGGAGAGCTTGTTGTGGTTGCAGTGGTTGATGTTTAAGGGTGACCCGCGTGAAGCTCTGAAAGGCCTTTCTAATATGTCGGTTGGTCAGAGGGGTGTTTGTGCGGCTGTTTGGGGATCTACTGATTTGGCTTACAGGTGTAGGACTTGTGAACATGACCCAACTTGTGCTATCTGTGTTCCTTGTTTTCAGAATGGGGAGCACACTGGACATGATTACGGTGTCATTTACACGGGTGGTGGTTGTTGTGATTGTGGGGATGTGACAGCGTGGAAGCGAGAGGGGTTCTGCTCAATGCACAAGGGTGTGGAGAATGTACAACCACTTTCAAAGGAGGTTGAGAACTCTGTTTCTCCCGTGCTTTCTCCTCTTTTCAATTGTTGGAAAGATAGGCTAACAGTTGTGTGTGATTCTGATCCAAGAGGAAAGAAGGCCGCAAATGATCTAACTTTTGCTATGGCTACCTTGCTTTTAGACTTTTGCAAGCACAGTGAGAGTTTGCTCAGTTTTATCGCTGGTCTGTGCTCTACTGATTTATTGAGTGTCCTGGTGAGAGCTGAGAGATTTTCAACTAATGATGTTGTAAAGAAACTCCATGAGCTGCTACTGAAATTGTTGGGAGAACCTACTTTTAAGTATGAGTTTGCTAAAGTTTTTCTCACTTACTATCCAAGTCTTATAAAGGAGGTCATTAAAGAGGGCAGCGACCTTCCTCTAAAGAGATATCCACTAGTATCCATGTTCTCTGTGCAGATACTTACAGTGCCAACTCTTACCCCACGTCTTGTGAAGGAAATCAACCTATTGAACATGCTGTTAGGATGTTTGGAAAATATTTTCATTTCTTGTGCTGAAAATGGACGTTTACAGGTAATGAGTGATTGTCTCTCTTTAAAGTTTGCAACTCTGGTAGAAGTGGTGTATTAGATATGCCAAGAATACTAGTGCGTATCGCTTTTATACTCGTAGATTTTTGAGTAGATGGATCTAGCTGTGAAGACGGTTTAGAAGTTTCTATAAATGAAATGCAGTTATACTTCTTATAATCATGTTTTCAATCTTCTTTCACTATTTTTTGGTAAAGAACTATATGATACTTTTACAGGTGTCCAGGTGGGTACATTTGTATGAGACAACAATACGCGTTGTTGAAGATATTCGATTTGTTATGAGCCATATGGTGGTGTCCAAATATGTAACCAATAACCATCAAGACATCTCAAGAACTTGGTTGAAACTTCTATCCTATGTGCAGGGAATGAACCCTCAAAAGAGAGAAACGGGTCAACATATAGAAGAAGAGAATGAGAATGTCCATTTGCCTTTTGCTTTAGGGCATTTTATAGCCAATATTCACTCTCTATTTGTGGATGGGGCGTTTTCTGATGCTAGCAAGGGAGAGGCGGGTGATGAAACAGTTTGGACCTTGAATCATAATGAATCGGATGATGGAGGTGATCTAAGACATGCTAAGGTAGGGAGACTATCCCAGGAAAGCTCTGCATGTAATGTGACTAGTAGCAGTGTCTTTGCTACACCAAAAGTTCTTGAGATAAAATCTGATGCCTCTTCTCATCTGCTTCCATATTCAGTCACTTGGTTGATATATGAGTGTTTAAGGGCTGTTGAAAATTGGTTGGGAGTTGAGAATACACCCGGGGTACTTCCTAGTGGTACTAGCAATATTTCAGCATCTAAAGGGGCAGTATCTAATCTCAGAAGGGGTAAATTGAAAACAAATGAAGAAATAGGTTCAGAAAACGCCTACGCTCATTCCAGTTTTGATAATGGTAGAGCATCTGAAAAGTATATTCTCACGTCAACAGATGGTAGTGCCATGGAAGAAGATTTTACTGTGGAATCAGATGGATTACGTTTTCTATCATCACCTGATTGGCCACAAATAGTCTATGATGTTAGTTCACAAGATATATCTGTTCACATCCCGTTTCATAGATTCCTTTCAATGCTGTTACAAAAGGCACTAAGAAGATATTTTTGTGAATCTGAAGTGCTAGACGTGACTGACATTTGTGCTGCAAATTCATCATCAACAATCTATAATGACTTCTTTGGACATGCTTTACGAGGAAGTCATCCATATGGTTTCTCTGCCTTTATAATGGAGAATCCTTTGCGTATTAGGGTCTTTTGTGCTGAAGTCCATGCTGGAATGTGGCGTAAAAATGGAGATGCTGCTTTACTATCGTGTGAATGGTATAGATCAGTGCGCTGGTAAGTCAATTTTGTATTATTATAATTTATATTTAAGGGCTGAAACCCATCCATTATTATTTTTCTAAACCAGTCTTTTACTTTTACAGGTCTGAACAAGGTCTGGAGCTTGATCTATTTCTTCTTCAATGTTGTGCAGCACTTGCTCCAGAAGATCTTTTTGTCAGTAGAGTTTTAGAGCGCTTTGGACTGTCAAACTACTTATCCCTGAATCTTGAACAGTCTAGCGAGTATGTATTCTCCTGCAACACGGAAAACTTTTCAATTTTCATAGATCTACGGTGTTATGGCAAATTGATGTCATATAAGTTCTTAAGAAATGATTTAATTGTTTTTCTCAAGTAACTAAATACCACATGCACACCACTTTTTACAAGAAATATTTCAGTCACGTTTGTATAGAGGAGAATATTTACAAAATGATGCTACTTTGGACGAGTTCAACTAGGCAACAAGACAAGTGTGGTGAAGGCATGCATGCAGCACCGAGCTTAAAACCCATCGAAGAAAGTATTTGTATATATTCTGTTACAGAGTCAATTGTGACTCTGTTACTTCCCATCGGACTGTTTAATTTAGTGTAGAACCCAGTCTCTTATAAGCTCAAGTTTTTATGCAGAGGCCTGTTATATCTTTGACATTCCCCTTAATCGATGTAAAAGTTCTCAGGGCTTGAAATATGGACAATGCACAAGCTTTCTTTACCTTGAGTTGAATTTTTTAATAACTAAGAAGACTGCAAGCAGTAGGGACTGAACTCCTGATCTAACGAATATTGAATGATTTGTTTGTCTTCATTTATCATAGTCTGTTTTGATTTGGATCTTGTGTTCATCATCTTATGATTCGGGTTGATGATAATCACTTAGTTTCTTGTGTTTTATGTTGTGCTCATGCAAACACATCAGTTTTATATGTCATTATTTTATTATCTTTCTTTTTTGTGTAATATCATGGTAATAGTTCTCTTTCGATCTTATTTTCAGATATGAACCTGTTTTAGTTCAAGAAATGCTTACTCTTATTATTCAGATAGTAAAAGAACGGCGCTTTTGTGGGCTAACTGCTGCTGAAAGTGTGAAAAGAGAACTAATTTATAAGCTATCCATTGGAAATGCTACTCACAGTCAATTGGTGAAGTCTCTTCCTCGCGATCTTTCCAAGTTTGATAAGCTTCAAGATATTTTGGATACTGTTGCTGTATATTCCAATCCATCTGGCTTTAATCAGGTTTTGTAGACTCTTCGAAAAATTTATGACTTTCGTTTGTTCCCTTGTATTTATTGTGATTTTTTTTTGTTATATCAGGGTATGTATTCTCTACGGTGGCTATTTTGGAAAGAATTGGATTTGTATCATCCACGTTGGAATTCAAAGGATTTGCAAGTTGCTGAAGAAAGATACCTGCGCTTTTGCAGCGTCTCTGCACCAACTACTCAGCTGCCCAAGTGGACCAACATTTATCCTCCCTTGAAGGGGATAGCTAGAATAGCCACTTGCAAAGTTGCCTTCGAGATTATCCGTGCCGTGCTATTTTATGCTGTTGTTACTTTTAAATCTCCTGAATCTCGTGCTCCTGATAGTGTTCTTTTACCGGCACTACATTTGCTATCATTATCATTAGATATCTGCTTTCAGCAGAAAGAAAATACTGATAATGCATTTAATCATACTGCTCAACTTCCCGTTATAGCATTCTCTGGAGAAATAATTGATGAGAGTTCTTTTTATGGTGTTGGGGAACAAAGCTTGCTGTCACTTCTTGTTTTATTGATGGGAATGAGCAGAAAGGAAAATGATGACAGCAACGCAGAGGCTGGTGGTTTGTCTTCTCTAGTTGAAAGCTTATTGAAAAAGTTTGCTGAGCTTGACGATAGTTGCATGATTAAGTTGCAAAAACTTGCCCCTGAAGTGGTGAATCATATTCCTGAATGTGTTCCAACTGGAGACCCTAGTATCTCTTTGTCAGCTTCTGACAGCGAGAAACGCAAGGCAAAAGCCCGAGAGAGGCAGGCGGCAGTAATGGTAGGTTGTTGTTACAACATTTCTGTTAGACTTACTATATCCTTAATTTTTAAACTATTTAAGTTCTTGAATAATTTGAAAGATATGCTTCCCATATCTTTCAGGTTGGTATTTTACAGGCTAAGGAAGGCATTTGGTTGCAAATATTCTTTGTTGTGCTAGACATAATTTGTTTACTTTTGGATCAAGACAGGGTTGACCTGTTCTGCCGTGATTGCCTTCACCATTTGAATTTTGTCTCTTGGTTTACTTGTTTTTAAATGTAGGAGAAAATGAGAGCCCAACAGACAAAATTTATGGCTAGCATTGAATCAATTATTGATGATGGCTCTCAACTTGGTCACGAAGGTGACTTAGAAGCTGAACATGATTCTGAAGAATCCAAACAAGTTGTTTGCTCTCTTTGTCACGACCATAATTCAAGACTTCCAATTTCCTTTTTGATTCTTCTTCAGGTATACGACGGTAGTACTGCATGCCTGCTATTAGCTAGATCATTTATAGGTTCTATCTATTTGTGAAGAACTTTTTTAGATTTTTTTTAGACTTATTTTATCCCGCGCTCTAATTCATGCATTTTTTTTTCTATGTACTAGAAATCTAGGCTTGTTAGTTCTATTGAAAGAGGTCCCCCATCATGGACCCAACTTCGCCGATCAGATAAAGAACCCATGTCTGTCTGTAACACCAAGGAGGTAGACAAAACGGCTATTAATCAGAATTCAGGTAGTACGGAATCAACATTATCTTCCGACTTAACTCAGTCAGTTCAGAATGCTACCAGTGAGTTAGCTTCTAGTGGGCAACCTGTGGAAGTTAATACTTTTCTACAATATATGAAGAACCATTTCCCAGCATTGGGAGATTTTCAACTCCCAGACACGCCTGGTGATGAAAAAGAAAAACCGCCATATACTTTTGAGACATTAGAGCAGGTAATATACGTTTCCGTTCGTGACCAAATGCACAATCTTATGTCATCTTCAAATTTCATTGATGAGGATGAGAAAGTTCCATCTGCTGAAGGGAACTCAAATGTTAGAATTACTGGATCTGCATTGATTGGGAAATATGCAGCTGAAATTGTGAGAGAAATATCAGAGGTTTCTTCTGCATCTGGAAATGCTGGTAATGAGAATGCTTCTGTAGAATCAACATCACAGCGTCTAGAAAATGTTGGATTTGGCCCAACCGATTGTGATGGAGTTCATCTTTCTTCTTGTGGACATGCTGTACATCAAGGATGTCTTAGCCGATACTTGTCTTCATTAAAAGAAAGGTACAAGTTTCTATTAGCTTTATCCTCAGAACTCATAATTTCTCATGTTTATGATATTTGTGAATACTGTTTTAAGTGTCTATTAAGTTTCAGAAAATGTTTTTTTAAGTCTATTTTCTCCAGTATTTGGGCTTCATAGATGCTGAGTGTCTCAGACTCAAGTTTTGATTAGAAAGATGCAAGTGTGCTTTGAGTAAAAATTGAAAAGGGGCTGAGTGTTTCAGATTCAAGTTTTGATTAGAAAGATGCAAGTGTGCTTTGAGTAAGCATTGAAAAAGGTAATATAATACATGAATCCAGGACACAAAGGAGCAGGGTTCCCTTGATCACTAGAAACAAGGTGTAAAGGTTCTCTGTTTGTATAACTTGTATTAGAAGGTAAATGACGAGCCTTGTCTGCACATCAAGCATTTTGAAATTCTAGTACATATTTTCAGAGAATTGAATATTACAACGAGGGAGGACTTGTTTGGGTACATTAATAGCATGTGGATAGCCAGGACAACTGTTTCTAAGGGCCAAATTGTTAGGAAGAGGGAGAAGTCAGAATATCTGAAGCTCAGGACCTATGGAGAAGTAGTATCCGAAGCTCAGGACATATTCATACACTTGGCAGACTGAGTTATTGAATCAAATCCAATGAACCTTTATTCACACACATACTCACAATGCATGGATAGCTAAATTCTATAAATAGTAGTCAAGTTCTTGTTTTGCAATGGCGGGATTACTAGTATTTTGTTATTTTTACCCAGTTTATAAGATACTCTGATATGCTATATACTGCTTGGACAGATCTGTCAGAAGAATTGTGTTTGAAGGAGGACACATTGTTGATCCAGATCAGGTTTAAGTTTTTTTATTTTTTATTTTTTTATTTTTTTAAATTTCTTTTATCAGTTTGGAAGGGTTGATGAATACTATCTGTTGATGTTATGATTTTTCAATACTCTAAATTTTTTCCTTTTTGAACTGTTATTGTTTTTAAGGGAGAGATTCTCTGCCCAGTGTGCCGCCGACTAGTAAATTGTGTCTTGCCAACTTTACCTGGAGAATTACACGACCCTCTTGTCTCTAGTACGAGTTCAATACAGAGTACAACCCCCTTTGCTGATTTGAATGACGAGACTTATTCACTTCACCTACAACAAGCTCTCAACCTCTTAAAGTTTGCTACCAATGCCGTTGGAAAAGATGAATTTCTAAAAGCTATTCCTTTGCATCATATTGATAAAACTAGACCAATTGTTGACAATTTTTCATTGGTGCTTTCTAAAATGTATTTCCCTGGAAAACAAGAAAAGTTATCGAGATTTTCGAAAGTTAACCACTCACTGCTGATGTGGGATACTCTCAAGTATTCATTGACCTCAATGGAGATTGTTGCACGTTGTGGAAAGGCTTCTTTTACTCCAAACTTTGCTCTTAGTGCCATGTATGAAGAACTCAAATCTTCAAGTGGCTTTATATTATACATGTTGCTGAAACTTGTTCAAAAGACACGGAGTAAGAATTCTATTCACGTACTTCAAAGATTTAGAGGTATTCAACTCTTTGCAGAATCAATTTGCTCTGGGGTTTCCCTCAGTCATGCAGATAATGTTTCTGGGAAAGGTATTATTCTTGTTCTCCTATTTCTGTTTCTTCAAACACAACGAGTTTACTAATTTGTTCACTATTTTAATTTCCCACCATTTTCTTTTCTATTAAAAAGTTGGAAGAAAAGAAAGTTTTTTATTGTTTAACTGATACAGAAAATTATTTTACAATGTTCTCTCTTTTAGAAGAGGTAGGAGGTGATTCATAGGTGGTTACATATTTATTTACATCACTTAAAAAATAGGAAACTTTATTCATCTTGTTAATATTTATTAGTATAGTATCTACATTAATCTCATCTGAAGTCTCATCCATGTCCTGGTATTGACTAGTTTTTTCATGATTTGCTGTTCTCATACGGATTCCAGTGAAATCCTAATCACATCTGACAGGAGTATTATTTTTAATGCTTTAAAATGCATTGGCTTAAGAGAAAGTCTTCGTTGCTGATGTTGTTTCAAATTTTTTGGTTTCATCGGACAATTTTGCTTACTGTTTAATGTTTTTTAGGCTCATGTTTAGTTGTTTTCTACAACACTTGTTTCAAATAAAAAGGCTCCCGCCTTAGATACTTAGAATAAAATTGCGGAATTCTATTTTTTTTCCATTGGTCAATTCTTTTTACTGTTTAAAAGTTTTTTACTGCTTAGTGTTTATTTGTTTTCTAGGTTTGTTTCAAATAAAGGATCTCACCTTAGATAATTCTACAATGAATTTAATTGGTATGCATTGACAGTGTAAAATTATTTTACACTGTCAACCAATCACCCTCATGTATCCCGCCACATCAGACTGTAAATTTTAAGTTAATGGTATGACATGGCAGATTGATACATTCCTATTGGATGACAGTGTAAAATTATTTTACACTGTCAGTGCATACCAATTAAACTCTTCTACAATATACTTACAAAATTCTATTTTTCCCTTTTGTCAAACCTAAAATTACAAGTTATCAAAGCAACTTCAAACGAGGGTTTCTTTTGCATCTGAGCTCCTGATTTAATTATCAAAAATGCTAAATGTTACGACATATACTTTGCGGAAACTGCACGACTGTGTTTTCACTCAACACAAATGGTTTCGTATTTTCAAATTTATATTAATTAATTTTTGGTTTAAACAAAAGAGGTAATGCCACATATGTATTTGTGGGGTCCGTCGCTTAACTCATTCGTATACTATAGCACTTCTCTTTAATTATTTAATTAACAGTAATAATGATGATTCAGTTGGTGTGCATTGTCTGCATACCAAAAGTATGATCGAATTTATTCTCTGTTTAATCAAGTGTTTCACTTTTTTTATCTGCTATTGAGGGTACTATTTTTAACCACTAAATATTAACAGGTGACATGTTATCAGTCTTGAAGCGTATTGAAATGGACCAGGCGAACACTGATATATGCTTTTGGAATCAGGCTTCAGATCCTGTACTTGCTCATGACCCTTTCTCAACATTGATGTGGGTTCTCTTTTGTCTACCACACCCATTTTTAACATGTGAAGAATCTTTGTTATCCCTAGTGCACACTTTCTATATAGTAGCTGTAACCCAGGTTTGTACTTTATACTTCATCTTTGACATGTTCTTTGATAGTGTTTGTATTTCCTAATCCATTTTCCTCTGGACACAGGCTATAATTTTGTATTATGAGAAATCTCAAGATAAATCATCAAGCGAATCAGCTCTTTCAGATTGCATGATTACTGACATAAATAAAATTATGGGAGAGTCTGGATGTGCTTCGCAGCATTTTGTGTCAAACTATTTCGACCATAATGTTGATATTAAAGATGCAATTAGGAAGTTTAGTTTTCCTTATCTGCGAAGATGTGCATTGTTGTGGAAGATACTATATTCTTCTATCCCAGCACCGTTCTGTGATGAGGGAAATATGTCAAATAGACCATTGATTATCCAAAGGGACACAATGGGCAGTGCTGATATTAACATGTTTGAGATTATTAAAATTCAAGAGCTTGAGAATATGTTTAAAATTCCCCCTCTGGATGTGGTTCTCAAAGACGATCTTTCAAGATCTTCAGTTTCTATTTGGTGTCGCCATTTTTGCAAGGAATTTGAATCACAGAGAATTCAACGTAATATTCATGTAACTCCTGCAGTTCCATTTAGTTTAATGAAATTACCAAATGTTTATCAGGATCTCTTGCAGAGGTATTTTAATTCTTATATTTTATGTGTGTCATGTCATATATGATATTATATTACTATTTTATATTATTAACTACAACATGTATTCATAAACAGGTGTATCAAACAGCGCTGCCCTGAGTGCAAATCACATCTTGATGATCCTGCAGCGTGCCTATTGTGCGGTAGATTGTGCTCCCCAAGCTGGAAATCATGCTGCAGGTTCATTTGTACCATTTTCCTATGGTTTTGCCACTTATGCTAAGAAAAATCTCAGAATCTGGGTTGGGCCTAACTCATCCCTACAAAACCGGCTTATAAGGTGAGGATTGCCCCCACTTATAAACATAACACAGGCCATATCTCTTAGCAATGTGAGACTAAATCCACCCCTTCGAAGCCAACACAATGAAGGTGTTAAGGGCTGCAATGAAGGCAAGCCAAAGTGCCGCAATTAAGGCGACTAGGGGAGACCGCAATTAAGGCGACTAGGGGCGACCACAATTAAGGCGGAAAGTTTAACAAAAAGCATTTGAACATTAAAGTTGCCTTGATTCCTAAGCTACGCTAATTACCTTATTTCAAATTCTACATAATTTACTCACAAGCTTATTGATAGCTGCTAAATCTTTAATTTGAGCCTCTAACATGAGTTTTTAAACCTAAATGTGCTTGTAAACTTGCACGTAGATACATTAACATTCAAATTAGGTGGGGTTAGCTGATGCAATAGTTTTCTTATGCTTAGATGCTTCTTAGCATTCATATTATTGTTTTCAGGCCATTTTAATTGTTGACCTTGGTTTATTTATACTACTGCATTTGATTATTGATGAGAATTTGAAAGAAATTGTTTTTGTTCTGTTATATTTTAAGGAAAAGTGGATGCCAAACTCATTCTGCAACTTGTGGAGCTGGTACCGGAGTGTTTCTGTTAATTAAGGTATTGCAATCTTTAAACATACATGTCAAATGACTAGGCTGTCTTGTTCTTTTTCAGTATATTTTTAACTCACCTTTTGGATTTCCTTTTTCAGCTAACTTTTTATTCCTCTTCTTTATTCTTTAATTAATTAGTTACTTGTTTGCATGGATACCTCGGAAATAATGAGTTGCGTTTGTTTTAACAGAGAACTACAATCCTACTACAGAGATCTGCACGTCAGGCACCTTGGCCTTCTCCATACTTGGATACTTTTGGCGAGGAGGTCAGTTTACCTTTGACATCTTTAAAGTAGTATCAGTAATTCAGACTCTCTCTTCTATCTTTTCCATCAGATCTCTACACTTCTACTGAAGTAATTAACTTTGCATGGATTATTGTGTGTTTTGGAATTCTATTTAGTTTGATTCTTGTCTTCATTTCTTCAAATTATCTCTTATTTATAGTATTCTTTACTTCAGGATTTTGAAATGAATAGAGGCAAGCCAATCTTCCTAAATGAGGAGCGTTATGCTGCTTTGACGTATATGGTGAGGAAATGTTCTATACTAACATTCACACCTTATCTTTGTTTCAATTTTTTTAAAAATGCCAATGGGCATTCAATATACGGTTGTTTTCTTGTCTTAGGTTGCTTCTCATGGTCTGGACCGGAGTTCCAAGGTTCTTGGCCAGACAACTATTGGTTCCTTCTTCCTGGTTTAGTTCAAGTTATGCTTGTTCAGTTGCAATATTGAGGTCTGGCACTTTAGTAAACTATCTTCTGTCACTGCTTTCTTTTCTTCCTTTCTTGGCTTCTGAAACACTGTTGGTGATATTGTGATTACAGATTTTTTGGCTGGACAAATCTCTGCAGGGAGGAAATAGGTTCTCTAAATGCAAATTTATCATGTTATACACTTCCCCCTGGCTAATCAAAAGAGCTTTAGTCCATGCTATGTCTAAGTGGAAATTGTACAGCCCTTTCAGGTTTGCATGCTAAAACTGAGGTTATGCTCAATGCCATTACTTGATTTCTATAGGAGTATGCTTTCTTCTTGGATGATAGGATTACCCCTATTCATTTTTTAACTTATTAAATCTTCATTGAGAAAATGATGATAGATTTTCTTTGGGCTGGTATGGGCAAACATATAGATCTTGTATGCTGGGAGATCTGTTGAAAACCTGATTTCAGTCTTAGAAATTTGGTGTATAGAAGTTTTTCCGGTGAGGAAATGACTATTGGGCTTTACTTTTGATAACCAGACCAGTCATCGAACATATCAAGGTGTCGGTTCAAGGTTCACTAGTTCAACACCGCTTGCGGTTGGACCAATACTAATTAAATAATTTTTAAAATTTAAAATAGCTATAAAATGTTTAGTAGTATTGAGTTATTTAGTAGTACTTTCTTTTCTACTATGGATGGGTCAACTTGCATCTCAGTCCACCACCACTGACTCCATCCTCAACAGTGTTGCCAACGGCAGACTGTTCTCCATCAACCTCAACATAGGCTGAGCCCATGCCTTTGTATTTGAAATCAGCTTTACGGGCTGGCTGAACTTCTGTAATATAACGATGACTGTCGTGACTTGCAATTGGACCAATGGATGATGGCCACATAATGTTGAACGGCAGCAGCCACTTGCAATTGGATCAATGGATTATGGCCACATAATGTTGAACGGCAGCAGCAATCTGTGGCTGTAGGGTATCCTGGTTCACAACCAATGATGTGGCATGCCTTTGGCAAAATGTGTCGGCATAAATTCCATTTCTACAACTACGACAATAATTTGCAAGGCATGAAAAGTCACTGGATGTATGACTCATAGGAGGGAGGAAGATAGATGATGCATACTTGTTTGTGGCAATGGTGTGCATGGATGCACCGCTTTTGTTTTTAACACCTACTAGACACTAGCAAAAGAAGATGGGCTTGATCTTTTAGGATCTGACTGGTTTGCAGGTTCTGTCGAGGACTCCTAATGTTACCAATTCCAATGTGTCTCTGCAGTTTGTGAACATTGGCTAGTGTGGTTGAAACAGTTGATATTTGAATATATATAGTTAAGAATATTTGTATATTGAATAGTCCCACATCGACTATATCATGCAATTAGGTGTTAATATATATATATATATATATATATATATATATATATATATATATATATATATATATATATATATATATATATAGTTTTCGTAGTGTTTTTAAAACCACATGGTTTATTCAAATGTTTCTTAGTCTTTTGTTTCTTAACATGGTATCGAGAGCCTACTAAGAGACAACCCTTCGCCGTGCTTTACTCGATTGATCCACTGTCTTCCTGTGAGAAATTTTTGGCAAAACATGTCATAACTCTGGTTTGCCTTCCATACACTACCGTGGCTCCTTCCTGCATTAGTTTTCGAAATTTTCTGGTTACTACTGCACTGCCACCGTCACTAACGGTCCTGACAACCTTCTGACAAACTAACCTAACCGGTAGAAGCGCAACCTTCGATCTAGCAGTTCACGAATTTTTTAATCATCAGAAGCCTGCCACGAGGCCATATGCGCCACCTCCATCTCCGCGTGTGGGCCTCACGTGCCGCCACCTGAACTGCGCGTGGCAGCGCGTCCGTCATTTGATCCCACCGAATTTTCCATCGGGCCACTTGTCTTCTTGCCCATGTTCTAGATCCGACCCCAGATTTTGTTTTCCACTCACGGAAAACTGTGATTCAGTTTAAATAGTCATTTTCACCCAATTTGCGTGATATTTTCTCTCTTCAGAAACTCATGGCTATTCCTCAGACTTTACGTCAAACCACGATGATTTCCTCAAGTGGTATCAGAATTATCAAAACTCATATTCTATTGCTTAGGTTGCACACACTAGTAATTCATCTGTTTGCTTCTCTCAATCATCTTCTCTTGGACCTTGGGTCTTTGACTCTGTTGCATCTGATCATGTTACCGGTAATAAAAATCTTTTGTCTTCCCTTTTCTACCTCTGATTCCTTACCTACTATAACTTCTGCCAATGGTTCTCAAACCCAATCCGAAGGGATTGGTACTGTTCAAATTCTACATTCTCTGTTACTTCTGTTCTTTATGTACTTAATTGTCCATTTAATTTACTTTTAGTCGGTCGTTGAACTCGTTCTTTCGATTGTATTGTCACCTTCACTAATAGTAATGTTATCCTATATGATCAGGGTTCGGGACGAATGATTGATGTTAGATGTGAGTCTCAAGGCCTTTATTACCCCTCAGTGCCATCTCAGACATGCTCAGCCAAAGATTTTTCACTCACTATCCATGCTTAGTTCTAGTCTTCCCAAATTACAGAAGTTGGTGCCAAGTTTACCGAAGGTACCTAATTTACATTGTGAATCGTGTCAGTTAGGGACGCACTAGTAGTCAATTTTCTAATCGAGTCAATAGACGACCTTCGTCCCCTTTTGATTTAGTTTACTCCAATGTTTGGGGTCCCTCGCATATTGTAACTACTCGAGTCTAGGTATTTTGTCACCTTTATTGATGATTTTTCATGTTGCATGTGATTATTTTTAATGAAAAATAGATCTAAATTATTTTTTATTTTTGAACAATTTTATAAAGCGATAAATATTGAGTTTGGTGTGTTTATTCGTACCTTAAGAAGTGATAATGCTCGTGAATGCTTATTCCAACAATTTTAAATTTTTATGTCAAACAATGGTATACTCCACCAAACATCTTGCCCTTATACACCTCAACAAAATATGGTAGTCGAATGCAAAATAGGCATCTCGTAGAAACCGCTCGGACTGTACTTCTCCATGGTAATGTTTCACTCTGGTTCTGGGGATTGTTGTGCTAACGACATGTTACCTTATGAACCACATGCCCTCATTTGACCTTAAACAAAAAATACCTCACTCAATTCTTTTTCCCATTCCCCCTTCACCTAATTCCTTTCCGTGTCATCCGGTTTACATGTTTTGTTTACAATCTCTCTTCTAGACTTGATAAACTATCAGTTTGATCACAAAAGTATCTTTCATGGTTATCATCGATCTCAAAAAGATTATCGTTGCTATTCACATACTCTACAATGATACCTTATATCGGCCAATGTTACCTTCTTCGAGTCTGTTCCATATTTCGAGTTCAACCACGTAACTCCGAAACCCCTTCAAGAAAGTACTCCCACACCCCTTCTGAAAGTTATTAATGTCCTTCAAAATGGTATACGTCAAACACGAAATCACTCTCCACATTATATTGATATGTTATCATCGTATTTTCCTTTGTGTTCTGTATCTATTCCTAAAACTCCAGGTGAAGCGTTATTTCACCTTGAGTGAAGGCAAACATTGATTGATGAGATGCGGACTCTTTAAAGTAGTGGTACCTGGAATCTTTGATAGGTTGTCGCTGGCTTTATACAGTGAAGGTTGGTACAAATGGTAAGATTGATCGATTTAAAGCTCGCTTGGTAGCCAAAGGATACACTCAGATTTTTGGGTTGGATTATAGTGATATTTTCTCATTGTAGCAAATATGACATCAATTAGACTTCTTCTCGCCATTGCAGCCATTCGACATTGACCTCTTCATCAACTTGAGATCAAAAATGCATTTTTACATGGTGATCTTGAAGAGGAAGTATATATGGAGCAACCGCCTGGGTTTGTTGCTAGGGGGAGTCATAGACTATGGTTTGTAGGCTACACAAGTCTCTTTATGGTCTTAAGCAATCTTTGAGAGTTTGATTTGACAAATTTAGAAATGTAGTACAACAGTTTGGTATGGTCCGTAGTGATCTGTCTATTTTGTGTGTATTATTATTGTCACTTAGTCTAAGGGTGTATTTATCTTATTGTGTATGTAGATGATATTGTTATAACAGGTAGTGATCAGCAGGGAATACTCTAGTTGAGTATTGAGGTAGCTCAATCTAAAGATGGTTTGGTGATTTCTCAAGGGAAATATGCTATGGATATTTTGGAAGAAACATGTTTGTTGAATGCTAAACCAGGTGATACTCTTATGAATCCAAGTGTCAAATTCCTACCCAATCAGGAGGATCTTCTATCTGACCCAGGAAGGTATAAGAGATTGGTTGGAAAGTTGAATTATCTTATAATCACCCGTTTGAACATTTCTTTTGCAGTTAGTGTGGTAAGCCAATTCTTACATTCTCCTTGTCAGGAACACATGGATGTTGTTTGAATTCTGAGATACATCAAATGTGCTTCAGGAAAAGGTCTCATGTATGAAGATAAAGGACATACTCAAATAGTTGGATACTCCGATGCTGATTGGGCAAGGTCACCCATTGATAGACGATCTGAGTATTATGTACTTGTTGGAGGAAACCTTATATTCTAAAAAAAGTAAGAAACAAAATGTAGTTTGCAAGATCAAGCGCCGAGGTTGAGTATAGGGTCATGACAATAGTAACATGTGAACTCATTTGGTTAAAAGTAGTTGCTCAAGGAACTTCAAATTAAAGAAGCAACATAATCAAGCTGCATTGCACATTGTTTCAAATCCAATCTTTCATGAGAGAACCAAATATATCGATATAGTTTGTCACTTTGTCAAAGAGAAGATTGAGTGAGGTGACAAATGTTTACAAAATTTCTGCAAAGTTCCTGAACTAATTATATATGTGGCAAGTTTGGTACATTTATATATATGTGACAAGTGTGTGTGTGTTCGCGCGCGTGCGCGTGTGGTT